GTATTCAGCAAGACCACCGAGGAGCATGAGGGCCATTTGAGGCAGATTCTAGGAAAGTTGAGAGAGTCTAACTTTAAGATTAACCCGAAGAAGTGTGAGTGGGCCAAGACAGAGGTTCTTTACCTAGGCCATGTACTAGACAGAGATGGCATTCGGCCTGAGGACAGTAAGATAGCATCTATTAGAGATTGGCCGACTCCTAGGACGCTGACAGAGTTACGCTCGTTCCTAGGGTTGGCTAACTACTATAGGAAGTTTGTGAGAAACTTCTCCACGATCGCTGGTCCCCTTCGTAGATTACTGAAGAAAGAGACAATTTGGAAGTGGGACCAGGATTGCACATCAGCCTTCAAGAAATTAAAGAAGGCCTTAATAGAGTACCCTGTCCTCAAAGTAGCTGATCCGTCACAGACGCTAGTCAGTATGGCATAGGTGTCGCTTTGCAGCAAGATGACGGCAACGGTTTAGACCCGTAGAGTTCATGTCAGCCAGACTGCCCTCAGAAAGGTAGCAGCATCGACATACGAGAGGGAACTCTACGCTCTCAGGCAGGCCTTAGATCACTGGAAGGACTACCTGCTTGGGAGGCACTTCAAGGTATATTCAGATAATGAGACTCTTAGATGGCTAAAGACCCAAGCCAAGATGACGCCCAAATTGACTAGATGGGCTGTTGAGATAGACCAGTTTGACTTTGAGCTAAAAGTCAATAAAGGCAAATATAATGTGGTAGTCGACGCTCTAAGCAGGAGGGCAGATTATTTTGGCGCAATAGTGCACTATCTAGAAATAGGGGCCGATCTGCAACAGAAAGTAAGAGATGCCTATGCACAGGACCCGATCTATAGTGAGCTGCTGAAAAGAGTAAAGGAAGCCCCAAATTGTGAACCGCACTACCGAACCACAAATGGGTTATTGTTCGAGAAGACCAATGCCGCTGACAGACTATGCGTCCCCAACAGTGAAGAGATCCGTAGTCTGATCTTAGGGGAATGCCACGATACAGAGGGGCACTTCGGATGGCAAAAGACTTTAGCTAACCTGATGATGTCATACACATGGCCAGGTATGAAAGCAGACCTCATAGAGTATGTTCGCAGTTGCAAAGTATGTCAGTGCAATAAGACCACAACAAGAGCCCCGTTAGGTCTTCTTAGACCCTTGCCTATCCCATCAGGACCCGGAGAGTCAGTTTCCATCGATTTCATGGATACCGGGGTCAGAAGCAGGCATGGCAAAACTCAAGTCATGGTCATAGTAGATCGATTTAGTAAGTTCGTAGTATTTGTTCCCCTGCCTTCAGAGGCACGCACGAATTTAGTGATAAGTAAGTTCTTCCACTTCTGGGTAAGCGAACATGATCTACCGTTGTCCATAGTCAGTGACAGAGACACACGGTTTACCAGTGAGAACTGACAAGATCTTATGAAAGTATACGGATCTAAGCTATTGATGTCGTTTGGCCGTCACCCAGAGACGAACGGCCAGACAAAACAAATGAACAAGACCTTGCAGCAGGTACTCAGAATGTATATTAGGCCAGATCAGGTAAACAGGGATGAGATGCTCCCCAGAGTAGCAAGCGCCTATAATAACAGTGTTCATCTAGCTACCTGGAGGACTCCTAATGAGCTACATAAGTCCTTTAGGCCAAGGCGATCGTTTGAGGGGCTGAACCGGGAACAGATATAGAGACTTCCACCCAGCACCCGAGAGTTTGCATAACGGCACGAGCAAGAAGTCGCTAAGGTGATTGGCAATCTTAGGAAAGCCCAACATAGAATGATAGAGCAAGTTAATAAGCACCGCCGACCTTCACAGTTCCAGGTAGGCGATCTAGTCCTAGAAGTCAACGGAGGAGAGGACGGTCCGTTGTACACAATAGAGATTGCAGCAGACCTCCACACGTACTCAGCCTTCCATGCGTCCAAGCTACTACCCTGCACCACGTCTGACAGATCCCCTTCCCGGAGATCAATAATCCTGCTAGACATGGATGGTGCATATGACAAAGATCACATAATGGAAGAGGACGTGTTTAGAACGGGAGGTCGAGGTCGTCCCCAGAAACAATATAGGGTTAGGTTCGCATATCAGGAACCCGAGGATGACAGATGGTTTACAACAACAAAGCTCTTAGAAACCGCTCCCGACATAGTACACGCCTATCAGAGAGAAAGAAAGGCTAAAGGTCCTATCTTGAGTTAAAGTGTTCTCGGAGGACCTCGAATATAGGACGGCGGGAGTGAAACGGTTTCACCCAGTTGATCCGACATTTGCAAACACAGAGTTTCGATCCCTGACTTGTGCCCGAACCTTGTACATTGACCGAGTGTGCTGAGTGAGATTCGATCCCTAGACCTACCCTGTACCCTGTACATAAACCGAGTGATTTGTGTAGGACTCGATCCTTAGGTCTGTAGGTTAGTAGTTAGGACTGTTCCAGTAGGCCTAGAAAGGGTCTGTGCTAGAAGTCTCTACCTAAGTCTACTGTGGGCCTAGAGTCTGTCTGCTGGTCTGTAGGTTCTAGAAGTCCGTAGGTCCCTGTAGGCCAGTCCAGTCAGCAAGCACCAAAGGAAGGGGCTGCACGTGGGGAACAGGGAGGCCCACGCGTTCTGGAGAAGACTCCAGAAAAACGTGTTTTGTGGCCCAGCAGCCCATGCGTTTTGGCCCAGAAGGCCTACGCGTTGGGACTGCCAGGCTCTCGCGGCCTGGAAGCTTCCAGGCCCAGGCCTCACACGGTTTGGGCCTGTGGCCCACACGGTTTGGGAAGTTTCTGAACCCGGGACTCACACGTTTTGGCCCAGGCCCACGCGGTTTAAGACCGGGCCAGGGCACCTGCGAGTTACTATAAATAAAGGGGCAGCATCCAGCCATTCATTCATTCGCCTGGGAGACCTGCGGAAGTGCTGCCTCAGTGACTTGTGTGTGGAGGTATGCAGGTGCCCGGAGAGGATGTGGGCAGCGAGCAAGACAGCGGCCATAGCTGGCCATGAGGAAGACAACGGGCGACCATAGCTGGAGGAAGGAAGACGACGGCGGCCATAGCCGCCCAGCTGTTGGAGCAGACAGAGTGTACAGAGTGTGTGTGTCTGTGTAGCGTGGACATTCAGGGTGATCCTCGTACATGCGTACATGAGGGAGAGTGAGGGTGGTGGTGGAGACACTGTTCGGCGGCCATTGCCGCAAGTTGTACAGTTGACTTGAACAGAGTTTAAGTGCAAGTTCATTGTTGACTCTGAGTTGAAGAGTTTGGTTTTGCCATCAGTTCGCGTGTATGCATGTTGAAAGCAAGTCTGGAGTCGAGTCTGATTGCACAAGGCCCTAATAGTTTTTTTCTGATTTTTCAATAATATAGCCTTTACTAGTTTGTTTATTATTAGGGAAAATTTGTCTGGCACCCCTGTAATTTCCATTATTTTGTGTCACGCCCCTCCAACGGCCCACTTACACTGTCGTGCCCCTCTGACCATGATTCAAAATTCCCATAAAACCTCGGCGTCGGCTGGGCCTGAAAATTTTTTGTTATGCCCCTACCGGATAGCCGTTGAGTACCAGCACCAGAATTTTCCATATGCCCCTACCGTCAGGGTGCATGTTTTCAGCACACCTCTATGGCTATTCGCTCTCTCTCTCTCTCTCTCTCTCTCTCTCTCTCTCTCACACACACACACACACACACACACACACACACACACACACACACACACAC